CTCTGTTGATTGCAAGATCAGCAGGTTGGCAGTTTGAGGCCCAAGTGCCCCATGATAGGGTGAGCCCCTGTCACTAGTCCCAGATTCTGCCAACCTAGCAGTTCAAAAGCATGTAAATGCAAGTAGATAAATAGGTACCACTTCGGTGGGAAGGTAAACAGGGTTCTGTGCAATCATGCTGGCCACATGAACACAGAGTAGTCTCTGACAACAATGGCTCTATTTTAAAGTGTTATTTTTGTATGTTTTTAACTGTATTGTTTTTTTAATGTTGCATAAGTTCAACCTAGACAATGAAGAAATAGAAATAGTAAAAGAATTCCCATACCTGGGATCAAACATTTATAGAAATGGGGACTGCAGTAAGAAATCAGAAGAAGACTAAGAATGGGGAGGGTGGCTATGAAAGAACTAGAAAAGAATCTAAAATGCAAAGATACACAACTCAGCACAAAAGTTAGAATCATACAAGCCATTGTATTCCCTATTACCAAATATGGATGTGAGAGCCGGACAGTTAAGAAAGATGATAGGAAGAAAATCAATTCATTTGAGATAATGTGGTGCTGGAGAAGAAGGCTGAGGATCCCATGCCAAAAAAAAGGACAAGCAAGTGGGTCCTACAGCAGATGAAGCCAGAAACCTCCCTGGAAGCCAAGATGACCAAACTGAGGCTGTTGTACTTTGGGCACATCATGAGAAGGAAGGACTCACTGGAAAAGACAATAATGCTGGGAAAGGTGGGGGGAAGTAGGAAGAGAGGAAGGCCACATGCCAGATGGATAGATTAAGGAGGTCACAGGTATTAAGGGGTTGCAGGAATTAAGCACAGCAGTGGAAGACAGGAGGTCTTGAAGATGTCTCATCCATAGGGTCTCCATGAGTCAAGATCAACCCAAGAGCAGTTAACAACAACAACAGCAAAACGACGCCCTAAGTCCCAGTCCTGGGAGAAGGGCAGGATATAAATATAATAATAATAATAATAATAATAATAATAATAATATCATTTGAATATGTGCAGCCTACTGCAACAATATGCAAACTCCACGACTTTAACATTAAATCATCCCCCTGCCTTTTTGTTATCATATACTATATGGAGAGAGAGAGTGGTTTGAGCTTTGGACTATTTTGCTTCTACCCAAAATAGCATATATAATAATAATACTAATACTAATACTAATACTAATACTAATACTAATACTAATAAATATGATATGATAGACTGATAGACAGACAGATAGATAGATAGATAGATAGATAGGAGAGCCTGTGCGGTTTAGTGGTTTGACTATTGAACTAACGACTCTGGAGACCAGGGTTCAATTCCCAGCTCGGCCATAAAACCAAGTGGGTGACCTTGGGCAAGTCACACTCTCTCAGCCACCTCAGCGGAGGGCAATGGCAAACCCCCTCTGAACAAATCTTGCCAAGAGAAACCATGATAGGATCACCTTAGGGTCGCCATAAGTCGGAAATGACTTGAAGGCACGCCGCCGCCATCGCAAATATATATGTATGTATATATACCTCTTTGTGTGTGTGTGTGTACATATACAGTGTATGTATATGTGGCTCTTAAATTAGGCTCATAAAGGCAAAGCCATAGCCTGGAGAAGGAGAGAAACGAGCCAGCCCGCCATGACCCCGGTCCCTCTCACCTTCTTGAGGAGGCCAGCCATGGCCACTAGTTCCCTCAAGCCGCCCAACGACAAGGAGCATCTACTGCGCCTGCGCAGAAACGAAAGCGAACAAACACAAACGACAAGGACGCGAGCTTAAAGACGACCGAGTACGCATGCGTAAGATCCTCGCTGTGGGAACAGGGAACCAAGCTTCACATCCCAGGGGCTCGTGCGCAGAAGCGTCATTCGCGGGTGGGCGGGGCTGATTGGAGCGCCGCCAATCAGACGTGAGCTGGGCGGGGATTTCTGGCTGCGAAGCAATCAAGCCTTCTAGCTGTCAATGATGGGCAGCAGTTGTGAGCAATCAGGAAGGGTGCTTTTTGGTTGTTTGTTTTCTTTACCATAGAGTGGAAAACAAAATGATAAAAGGTGCATCTCTATCTACGCTGTAGAAATAAGGCAGTTTGGCACCACTTTAACTGCCATGGCTCCATCTTGCAGAATCTTGGGATTTGTAGTCTGTGGCATTACAAAGAAGCCAGTGATTCCCAAACTTTGATCCTTCTGGTTTTTGGACTTCAACTCCCAGA